ATAATAAAAATATATTATCTAATGACCCGATATCTGACAAACAGATAATAAAACAGATTTGATACAAATAGTTTGAACGTTGTTACTTCTCACATCTATGTATCAACGAAGAAACGTATTGAGTAATATAATGAGTAAGTGGTTCCTGAACGCTGACTCTTAGCTTTAAATTTGGCAGAGCCGATTTCAACACTTAGTACTTGCAATCTTAAAAAATTATTTATCCTTAAGTAAGTGCAAGAAAAAATTCCAAGACAACTAATGATGGGTGTGTGGGAATACTCGAAACAGCTGTTTGGTCAATCAAAAATTTAATTAATCAAAATAATATAAAAAGAAGTTTGTTCTGTTGTAGTTCACTATAATACGAAATCTCTGTAACATAGCATAGTTATATATACATATATATGTTACATATATTTTTTTTTTTTTTGTGTTCTGCTGACTTTAAGGACCATGTTATACAGACAGCCATTGTCACGATATATGTAAAGTCGTTAATATAAATTAAAAAATTGAGAATGAGAGAAAGAGAAAAATTTCGATTCAATTTTGGTCACAGTAAAGAGGTTTTCAGTGTCTCATTCCGTTGATCATTGACTCAGTCATAAATGTCAAAATTATAGTGTGGGTATACTTACATGTCTATAACTTTTATTTCGAAATAAAAAATTGTGTTATGACTTTCTCTATAACATGCTTTTTGGTCATGACCAAAAAGAGTGGAAAGTTATTGTGACCATACGTCATATGACTGTCTGTATAAAATGTTCTTTAGACTGCGGACTACACCGTTTTAGACCACTCTACCTAGAAGGTGCTGAATTTCCATTAATTCTTCTTACACGTATTTTTAATAGCTAGTGACCCATGCATCGGAGGTAAGTTCGTGGAATTTAGTAATGTTAACTTTAATTAAAAGCGCATTTATAGATATTATTGCCACGTATATCAACATTTTTAATTAAATTATTTAAAAAAATTATTTATTTCTATTTTCGATTTATTTAATGTTAATTTTATTTTATATTATTTTTATTTATTATTTTTTTTATTAGCATTTTATTGTTATTGTGCATAGATGCTCTAGCCATGAAATTTTATATTGAAATCTCTGCACTCTACAAAGCAAATACCTAAAAATCTTTTATTAAGAAATTCTGCAGTTTTTCATTTATATTATGGCATTCTGAAAATTTTATAAATTTTTTTTTGGTTCTTAACTGTATGAAGAATTAATTCTTTATCACATTTATCTCAAGTGAAAATATTTCATATTCAAATGCGCAAATAAATTTCAACTGTAAAAATTCATTAAAGAAAAAAAAATAATAATAATAACAAGGCAGTTCTTGATGGCTACCAGCTTTTCTTTACCGTTAATTTGATTACGTGCCATAAAGGTCTATAAAATCCATAAAAAAATCAAATTTTTTAGACCTTGAACAATTTTAAATAAATATCGAAATTTGTAGTTAAATTTAATTTATATTTAGTCCAAAGAATAAAAAGCGAAAAAAATAGATTGAAATCAAAAAGGAGCTACTGATGATCGGTGCCTAAGAAAATAACACAAATGCGAGCTTTTATCGATATTTAATGATAGGCTGCGGCCAGAAAAATGGAATACTGAATCTATATGGTCACATAACTGAACAGAAGACAAGGCAGTGAACACGCAAAGGGAAAAAACAAGTAAAAATGTAGAAGACAACGATCGAAAGATACACGGACAGACAGAAACGTTCTGAAATGTAGCTCAACACGAATACGTGCCGTCTTTTCTTACCTTTTTTTTTTGTTTTTTCGGTTCTCTTTATAGGCTTGCAATCACGCAGATAAGAAAATTAGGGTTAGTAGTAAGTAAATCTTGGACTCTAACTTAAATATAACGGCACTTGCATGCCTTAATGCAGACATTGCCTAAAGGAATTGCTTAGTAAAGTCAAGTTAAATAAAATGAATCGATTAAGAGTAGAAACCCATCCAAATTCTTGGCACTTCTTTGCTTTCAACAATGACTATCAGTTCTTCTATTATAGGAAATTTAATATTTCTACCTTAAAGTAATTGTATTTAATAGTTTTAGATACATAATCGAAAGCTTAATATGAGGGGTTTAACTTTATTTTATTTAACTTACAAATTCAGAATAACAAACAGTAGTTCCATTGTTCCAAAGTTCTAAAAGGTCTTTCACTTTTAGTTCACTATTAATTTACTGCATAAAAATACTATATCGACTAGTACTTTTTTTGACAAAAGTATATCCTGTTGAAATAAAAGTTCATAATTTCTTAATATTTAATATTATTACTAAATTTGGTATTATTTTTAATTTTTTCATTATTATTCAATTCAATATTATTTTTAATTTTTTTTTATTATTAATTTAACATTATTATTAATTTAAAATTATTATGAATTTAATATTATTAATAATTTAATATTATTATAAATATAGGTTAGGTTAGGTTAGGTTATACCGGTGATCCCTAGTGGATCCACTTAGGCCTATTGGCCCATTGTGATGCCGTATATAAATACTAAAAACCTCAGGGTTTAAAACCACCTAGAACCTTTTGCGAAGCATAAAATGCTATTTAAAGCCCGATCCTGTAACTGGTGCAGGTCCTCAAGGAAGGGGGCCCCTAGAGTACTAAATCGCCGACGTGCAAGAGCTGGACAAAAACACAACAGATGAGATGCGCTCTCATCGTCCTCCCCACAGCTACGACAGATTTGGTTGAAAGGAAGACCTAGTTTTCTAGCATGGTTCTCTAGCTTACAGTGCCCTGTAATCAACCCTACCAGAAGACCAATGTTCTTGCGGGACATCTCAATGAGAGTTTTCGATTTCCTTTTATCGGAAAGTGGCCAGATTGCATACAGATGTCTACATATCGTTGAGTCTTCCCATCTTTTATTAAAAGTATTAGTGCAGAAAGAACTCAATATCAGTTTACATGATGTTAGATTATAAATTTAACATTATCATTAAATTATTATTATTATTAACATTAACATTATCATCAAATTATTATTGTTATTAATTTAACATTATTATCAATTATTATCAAACATTATTATGAATTTAATATTATTAATAATTATATTATTATTTTCGTAATGGGCATAATTATTAATTTGACATTACCGTCAATTTAAAATTATTAAATTATTATTTTGAATTTAATATTGCTATTAATTTAATATTATTATAATTTTAATACTGTAATTAATTTCATATTATTATTAACTTATCATTATCATTAAATTATTATAATAATAATATTAATATTATTATTACTTAATGTTATTATTAACTTAATATTATTATTATTTTATATTATTATAAATGTAATATTATTATTATTTAAATATTATTATTAATCTAATATTATATTTAATTTAATATTATTATTAATTAAATATTATTATTAATTTAGTATTATTATAAATTTATTACTGTAATTAAATTAATATTATTATTAATTTAACATTATCAATAAATTATTATTGTATAATTATTAATTTAACATTATTATAAATTTAAAATTATTAATAATTTAATATTATTAATAATTATATTATTATTAACTTAATGTGCATAATTATTAATTTGACATTACCATCAATTTAAAATTATTAAATTATTATTTTTAATTTAATATTACTGTTAATTTAATATTATTATAAATTTAATACTGTAATTAATTTCTTATTATTATTAACTTATCATTAAATTATTATAAAAATAATATTAATATTATTATTACTTAAAGTTATTATTAACTTAATATTATTATTATTGTATGTAATAATTAATGTAATATTATTATTATATTAATATTATTATTAATTTAATACTATAGTTAATTTAATATTATTATTAATTTAACATTATCATCAATTTAAAATTATTATTAATATAATATTATTATTGATTTAATATTAGTTTTAAAATAATATTATTATTTACTTAATATGTGTAATAATAAATTTAATATTATCATTAATTTAATACTATAATTACTTTAATTTTATTATTGATTTAATATTATTATTAAATTAGAGTTATTATTAATCATATTAACTAATTATTAATTAATTAATTAAATTAATTATTAATTTTTTACTGTTATTGATTTAATATTATTATTACATTATTATAATTATACGAGCTGAAATATTAATTGTCCGTGGCACTACTATTTTTAGACTAATAATTCTTGCCCTTTCTTTAGTCACCGAAAAAACTCTTTCACTTCAACCACATCCAAAAAATATTAATCATTACTAAGATCTTACAAAGTTTGCGGGTATAAAGTTATAGAAAAACTCGTCTTATGTATGGATCTCCATGGATAACTACAATAACAACGTTAACCCAAAAACTTAAAAAAGATATTTGAGAAAGATATTGAGGTCGACTAAAGCAATGATTAAAAAACCAAGATTGTATAAAAAGGGTTTCTAATAATTTTTAGTATGTTAAATAGGTGATGAAAGATGAAGAAGAGGAATATATTAATAGACAACATCGGTTTTTGCTCAAAATGATGTGTTTCTATAAATCAAGTCAATTTATTTTTAATCCGATTGATATATAAAAAATTTATGTATCAAACTGAAAATGCAATAAATCAATCAAAACCAATGTTGTCATTAACTAGAAAGATTTTTAAGAAAGGATGGTATATCATTTGTCAAAAGATTCTGACATACGGTGTTCAAACCTAAGCTTCTTGGATATTTGCGAGAGCTAGACTCTTAACAAAATTATTCAAATTTTTATTAACAGTACCAACTTTTCCGATTTCATTAGAAACTAGCGTTCGCTTAATCTAGACTATCTATCTAGAAAACATAAATGAAGAGAAAATAAAAATTATTATTAAAATTTTACTAATATCGAAAAATATAATCCCATAAGCTTTGAGTTTATATCTTATCAAATCAAATATTTCTATCATCACAAAAAGATATAAAAAATATATAATAAAGATATATTTTTCTTATTACTTTTGAACAAAGATATATTTGGAATTTTTCTTCTCATTTCTGATAGATCTACAAAATTCAAAATGGAATTAACAGAAGAGGAAATAAAGGCAAAAATGGAATTATTCCGTGCCAGGAGCACACGAAAGGATTCGGACACATTTGATTGGTTTAGAGGCGAAATTCACGGGCTTAAGATTAATTATGAATCTACCACACAACAAATGTTAAATGACATCAAAAAAAGGCGTGTCATTATAAAACCAAAAGGGTATATAAATGGAATGACTAACTTTAAGTCAGTGATGCCAGTGTAAGTAGAACTTTTATTTTGATAACCTTCCAAAGGAACTTTCAATGTATAACCAATCCTTGTTTTATAAGTGTGTTTAATGACGGTGATGGTTTTCAATTTTCTGTTAAATCTGAATATGCACAGGAATATTTACTGCCAGCTCCATTTTCTTGTCCACCATTGGGCTCAGTTAAAGTAGGTGTTCCAGATTACTTATTTAATAAGATAACTACTAATGCCGTTGAGCTAAGACCAAATGCCGACTTCAAATTTATGGATGATCACTTTTTATGGCCACAGAGTTATATTACCAGGATTCATACTATGAGCAGCATGAGGTATTTTTGTAATTTATATCAGTTTATTTTCATGTTCGCATATGCAATTTTTTTTTCAGGGATACTTCTTATGGACTTGCTGAAATTACATCTGGTTGCGTTAACAATAAGGGAAAGATGAGATGTGATAAAGTGATTTTTTAGAAATCATTTTTCAAAATTTATTTCTACTAATTATGGACTTAAACGTATATCAAGAAGATGATAATTTTATTCAATAAAAACAACAAAATTAATTTAATAATCCAAAATACATATCTTTTCTCCAGATATAGAAAATATATTTCATTTGTTTTCTATATACATGCATTCTTACGACCATGTTATGTAGAATCTCATGGGTTCGTCAAAATTGTCTCTGTTGGGCTCAGACGAAATAACATAATAATACTGTTTTGCGTAAGTGACGAGGCACAGCTAGCCTTGGCTCTTATGCCCAAATTTGAACCAAAATATTGTTTTTTCTCCCGCTCTCAATTTTATAATTTGCACTAAAAACAACAACAAATTTGCTCATGATGACCCTATGAGACTCTATATAATATGGGCCATATTAGCAGTTGTATATAGTAGATAGTAGGTAACAATTCTCAATCGTTGACAAATCTCATACACTTCCATTGTTGTTGTTCAATCACGAACATGAGTTTTGACCTCCGGCAGAATGTTCAATCATGAACATGAATTTATACCATATATTTAATTATTATAGTTTATAAATCCATTATCACCTAAATTTTTAGAATTATGTACCAAGGAAAAATATAGATAAATAGCAACCGTATTTATTTATTAAAATAAAATATATTCATAAAAACAATAGGAGGAAAATCCCAAGTGTTGGGACTTCCGTCCTTTTTTAACCTTTTTTAACCTTTTTTGACAAATGTAATACAGTCCACTAAAATCATAATATTTTAACCTTGATGTAGAAATTAGTCTTAAAATATTTTTGTATAAAAACACAACATTATTTGAAATAAAATCAGTAGCTAAAATATACTCAAACTGTGTACTTCAATAATATAAAAGTACAGTTGTACCAAGTTGTTGTTACTTATTTGATTGTTTGGCTTGAAATGGTGCTAAAGACATAAATGATAAGCAATATATCAATGATTAGCCAAACAAAATTCGTGAGAAGGTCTATGATGGACGATAGAATTTACTTTTATTAAAACAACATGAATTCAATAAAGATTAGTTGAAATTTTTATTGAATCACAGCATCTAAAAATCTTCAATTTGTCGCAGTTATATAGATAGTCTGCAGTTTATTTATGGGTAGTAACAATAGAAGTCCCTCCAAAAGCATGCGAGGTTCAATAACATATATGAACCGATTTAATATTGTTTGCTTGGTTACTTTGATTTTTAATGATGGCGTAGAGATAAATGATTAGCAATATATTGACCAATCGAAATCTGTGAGAACCTCTTTAATGATGTATGGAATCTGCTTCTATCAAAGTGTCTGAGTGAAGTCACCAACCACAACTATTGGTGAAGAGTATATGGACCAGCCTAACTTTTTCCGTTTAAAGTGTACATGAAACTTTTCATTGTTGTATAATTTTTTTTATTAATATTTATTTTAAATAAATTTACTTATTTTGAGAAGCCTTTTTCGTTCCTTTCCATATTTTTACTCACATTAGAAATTAAGTCTAATCTACTGGTTGCAGTTAAGTTAAGTAAATAATATACATATATTTAATTTTTAGTGAATACAAGTATCTTTTTTATCTTAAAGTAATCCCATTCATTTGTTTATTTCAAGTATTTTGTTGTATTTCCGAATACAACAGATGTAACATATTTCATCTTATAAAGATTCTCTCCCCATAAATTTTGCCAACTAAATCATGATTAATGAGCGTATATTTTTGGATAGGTTTGCTCCACGAATCAAATATCTATCTATTGTTCTTGCTATATTAAAATATAATTAAAGCGAACATTTCCCAGAATAAATATTTTTGAATGATGATATTAAATTAATTAAATTTTATATTATAGTATATTTATTTTTATAGCTTAAGGGAAAGTTTCATTTAAATTAAAGTATTTAATTTCACTTTAAATATTGCACATTTATTATGAGTAAAAAACTCATATATAATAAATAAAAATCCTTTTTATCTTACGATGAATGCGATGAAGTGGTAAAAATACTTTCAAATATATGGCGTATCAAATATTCTATTAAAAGCATTAATAATAATAACTCCAGTATTATTTGGTTAGATGTTCAAGAAAAATACCTAAAAGAAATAATGTGTTCTGGTCTGGTTGAGAAAAAAGAGATATAAGCTACTCCTGCTCAAAACTATAAGTCAACGAAACAAAGGTATGTTTTATGCATACCTTAACGTTTGATGAATATTAGGAACAAAATTAGAAATTAGTACTATTTGCAATCAAGTACAGAAATATCTGGAGACACCGAATGTTCCATCAGTATGACCACAGCAGAGAATGTTCCACTGTCAGTGTCGTTAATAAAATATACATTGATCACAAAACAACTAAAGAAAGTAGATGAAAAAATGGATCAAAGATGTATTTATCTTGAGAATTAGACATATAAATGGGCCAACTTACTGCGTTGGTTGTGTATTAATACTGCATTTAACTTGATATACTGGTTCTACATAATACAATCCCTGCAATAGTTTATTGTATTGGAGTACACATACAAAACAGTGGATAATTATTTCCATAACATGGCAGATACAGTTAAGGAAGTGAAACATTACAAAGCAACAGGAGAGCTTATCAAGGATCTGTGCTGGAGCAAATACAATGGTAAGCGATAAATAGAGATATAATGAAGAGTAATCCACCTGACGAAATAAAAAGGACAGTAGGGTTAGGTATGAAAAAACTGCTTTAAAAGATACAGGTGAAAATTAACTAACTAAGTTTAATGTTCATAATGGACGTAATACCCCCAACATAGCCTCAGCACCAGGAGAACAAAATCGTTGATATGAGGGATATGTAAGTATATTGAAATCTCATACATAACCCAAGCCTTTTGATGTTTAACTTTTCATTTGAAAAGAAGACATATACTTTGCGGCATATAATGAGATATATGCTCCCGTATAATTGTATATATATATATATATATAATTCATTTATCTTAATTCAAGTTAATTAGTCACACTTTAAGTTTCATACATGAATTCAAACATTAAAAGCGAAGTTTCTTGTGCTGACTTTCGTGCTTTATGCAGAAAAAAGAAAAAAAAAAAAATAATTGTAAAGAAAAACACCAATAAAAAAAGGACACACTTTTATAAAAGCCTAATTATATTCCTTCTTCATCCTTTTAGGACATCAGAGATGCCTGTGTACTACGTAGTACGAACTTTACACGACTACACATACACACACAATTAGAAAAAATATGATTAAGCAAAAAAGAAGGTTAAAAATGAATATGTTAAGCACACGCCAAAAAATGTAAAGGATACTTTAACTTTAACTCACAAAAAGGAAAAGAAAACGAAAATGAAAACCAGACTCCAAAAAAAAAAAAAATATTAAATAAATAAGAGGTATAAAAGGAATAAAATGTGTTGTACAAAAAATTTTAAGCGTGTGCCAGAAAAGGGTGCGATTCATGCCTGTATTTTTCCTGCCATTGTGCGCTGAGATAAGTTTCAGGATAATTTACTAAGTTCAACATTATGAATTTTTTATTGTTTGCTTTTATACATATATATCTATACATATATGTATTCCTATACATATATATGTATACATATATAATGTATATATGTATAAAGCTTAACTCTAACATATTTCATTTATTTCATTATTTCGCTTAATATATTAATATCATATTAATTTCAATTGTTTTTATTATTCCCTTTATCAGATAGAATATTTTATAGAATAGATAACGCAACAGATCTATCAGAAAAAAGTATAATTACTTTTACAATTTTGTTAAGGTCCTTCTGAGTTTTTTTAAAACTAATATATATAATACTGGATTTAAAAATTTTCGAGTAGAAAATAGTCAAAACAATTATGATATATTTTGTGAATGAATCGAATTATATAGGAAGTAGTACATGTCGTATTTAACTCTTACTTTTACTCCTCTTGTTTCTTTTAATCTTGCTCTCACTTTTACTTTTACTCTTGCTCTTACTCTTACTCTTACTCTTTGACTTGTACTATTACTCTTTCTCTCACTCTCACTTTTACTCTTAGTCTTATACTTACTTTTACTTTAACTTTTACGTTTACTCTTAATCTTGCTCTTGCCCTTGCTCTTATTCTTACTCATACACTTACCCTTACCCTTACTCTTGCTTTTATTCTTGCTCTTACTCTTTGTCTTTACTCTTATTGTTACTCTTATTTTTACTTTTATTCTTACTGTTACTGTTACTCTTATGTTTACTCCTATTGTTACTTTTACTCTTAATTTCTGCAATACTTTTACTCTTACTCTTACTCTTACTCTTACTCTTACTCTTACTCTTACTCTTACTCTTACTCTTACTCTTACTCTTACTCTTACTCTTACTCTTACTCTTACTCTTACTCTTACTCTTACTCTTACTCTTACTCTTACTCTTACTCTTACTCTTACTCTTACTCTTACTCTTACTATTACTGTTACTGTTACCATTTCGTTTACATCATGATCGTCTTTCATAAATAATTTGCATTGCTTGTCTCTTAGTGGTACCCTATGATACCACACTCAAATCATTTGGTTATGGTTGTTATACTCTTAATCACTTATTCATCTTACTTACCAAGCCTAGCTGAACAAAACACAATCCGCACTCCGGATGAAAGACAAAATGCCAGGTCTTGAGAACAGTCTTACATCGCACTAGTATAGGAACTCCTGACGCCAATTTCCTTCTGATTTAGATCAATATTGAACAGTGTTTATATTGGCAGATAATAAAAGAAGCTAACAGATTATTTTAGGTTTAAGTAAATGGAGTGTTCTCACAAGCTTAAAATATTTTTTAGATTTATTGGTATGATTATATATAGTACTAAGTCGTAAAATGATTATAAATATGTACTATCTCTCTTATTTCATACTTAAACCATTATTATATATTGAGCCTAACACTTACCTACTTCAATCTTATCCCACCCATGTTTCTATGCCTTTTGACTTTGACAAACTTAGTTAGATCCAGTTTATGCCTAACATATTCACTTCTCCCATCAGCTTTTGATTGTTGAAATTGTGTTAAGGATCGAAATCTAAAATGCTT